TCTCCCTGGAAGCATTAAATAAAAGCAACATCAATATTGTTTGATATTTAACATAAATATTAATCAAATTCAAATGTAAAGGTAATTGTATATGCACTGCTAAGTACCCCAAGAATTGTTTACCAATTTTTTTAAATTATATTATTATTAGAAATAGAACCAGAATGTTAAAATTACTGGTTTATCTGCAATATCATCTTTTAGTGGTTATAACACCAGTAAAACAAGTAAAATTCTACATAAATAGATGTTACGCTGTCAGTGTCACTGAACGTAGACAACGAAAAATCAATTAAATAAGGATATTAAGAATGAATATCAATTTTAAAATCTCAGTTTTCAGAGCATTTTCAGTAACAAATTTATAAAATATGATACTAAACATTCTACCATTCCTCACCTAGACATTGTTGGGTTTTTTTAATTTCATGGGTATTAATTTTTATTGCCTATTGTTATCAATTAACTTCTATGTAATTGACTTAAACTTAAATTTTACAAAATTAACTTAAATCTTAACTTATTAACTGGTACAGTAATAAATGTGTACTTTTGACTTGCATTATAACTCATTTACTTATCACAAACATATTTTGACATCTGCAATGACAAGTGTTGAGGTTGTTTAAGTACATTCAACTGCTTTTTTTCAGGCCATATTAAAACAAACATTTGTTCATAATGTACATAAAATATTCCATATAAAAACATAAAATTGTTATTTTATGTCATAATTTTAAAACCAAATAGTTACATAATTGGCTTACAGCTACATGCATATATGCAATAAGATGGAATGATTTGAAAAAATCTTTTGACAACATTGTTAAAAACTGAATACACTGGTAATCACATAATTTGCTTACATCCACATAGCATTATGAAATGGAATCGTTCTATTCCCAATGGAATGATAGGTCTCCAATTGGAGATATGAAACTTTTTATTTTTAATCACTTACATTTCACATGATATTTCCATCTAGCTTTATGTAAAACTTCACAAATTGAGACCTTTTATGTTAATTAGAAACCAGAACTCTGCTATGGAATACTTATCAGCCTGAATTAGTGACACAAGTAACATTTAAATCTGTGACATTTATTACTAAAATTGAAATTTATGTATAAACACTTTTCATTGGACAAGATCACGTGCATGTGCAGTTTTCTTCCAAAAGCCTTCACTGTATAATCACAAATGGAAACAAGAGAGTGCATGATTTGTGTCAAACAAAATTCTGAGTCCTGAAATTTACAAATTAAACAAAGATCAACCATAAGCAAACCGTAAGTAACCATAAGCGATTATCATATTAGCACTTTTCTTGATAAGTCAAAAAGCATTATGCTTCGTAGAAAATCACTGTATCACAATGTTATAGATATATAAAGTAGGCTTATACTCACAACATACTCAAGCGTTACTAATTAATTGGGTTTTTAAGTTTATTTGGCCGACTAGTTTCGCCTCTAATGGTGAGGTTTTAAATCATCAGGTTGTTATAGATAGAAGTGACACTAAATCCTAACATGTGGAACTTTAAAACTTGACACAACTACATAGAAATATTTGAGTGGTAATTGTTTACAGTATAAGACATTATCAAGTAGTTTTTACAAATATTTTAGTTTGTATCTGTACAATGTCCAATTCTTCACGTGTAATGACACTAATAAATGCAATAACTACAATATCATATTTTGGAATGGATGAAATCACCAATATTAGATAAAAATTACAGAACAGAAATGCTGTGTGTGACTGTAACAAAATATTGCTGTGTGTAGAATTAAGCAATTAACATACATAAATATTAACGTAATCATTGGAATGAAAAATTGCTGAATCATTTTATTCTTTGATATTATTTCAAAACATTACTGAATTTTGAAATATGTACAATCATTCAACAGTATGGCGTACACTTAAAAATAAATGACATACTATTGCTATGGAATGAATTATGGCAGTGTTACTCAAATATAACTATATAATTATTATCTTGCATAGCACGAGTGTAAAATGATATTTTGTAGCAATAAGAAATTAGTACCCTTAAATTAAACAATCTGACAACTTATCTCATAATTAAGTTGGACCAAGTTAATCATAATAAGTTTGTTGAAGATATCCCAGGTTTAATAATAGGTATAGATCTTAATAATAATATAAGAAAGCATAAATTAAACTTGTTGAATATTTTTTTGTAAGGAAAATATGGCGAGCTTAAACCTATTTCTTATCTTAGATAAGTCCAAATCAGGATGGGGTTTACCAAACCCTCCCTCATTTATAAGATATTTGCTTGGACCGACGGCTTAACACCAGTCTGGTACGTACAAGTACAACAGTAGAAGAATATGTGTTCTTAAGACAATGAGTTCAAACGTCACGGCCAGGAAATGACTGAATAGCAGTGAAGGCACATAGTCCTACAGCATAAAGTATGATATGGCATCTATATGTCATACAGGCAGCAAGCACATGTTAGAGTCAAAACAGGTTACTTAGTCAAAACAGGTTACTTAGTTAAACCAGGTTACTTGGTAAAAAAACAGGTTACTTAGTCAAACAAGTTACTAAGTCAAAACAGGTTACTTAGTCAAAACAAGTTACTTAGTCAAAACAGGTTATAAACCAGGTTACTTAGTCAAAACAGGTTACTTAGTCAAAACAGGTTACTTTGGCTGTTTTAGCATATCTGTTTCAACCCGTTCAACCTGAAAGAATATGAAAAGCATAGATCAGGACTCTGATCTCTAGAAAAGTTGGCACCTTCATAACTTGAGGGGTCCAAAAATGCCTGGCTGAAACTAAACAAATGTGTAAAAGATGTGCGTTGATTAGGTTGCCTTACAAGTCTCAGCTGTAGGGAATTTTCCCTTTAGCTCAGCAGTAGACCATCAGGCTGGAGAGCCAAGGGTCGCGGGTTCGAGACCCAGCGAAGGCACTATATTTATCACTATTCCTCGTCCTATTACAAACTGGTGCCATTGACCCTCCCCATTCAAGGGTGGGAGAACCCTTGGTGGGGAGTCAAAGAACCTGAGTTGGTGTTAGAAAAAAGGGGGAATAGTGTAAAGATGTGCGTTGATTAGGTTGCCTTACACGTCTCAGCTGTAGGGAATTTTCAGGCTGGAGAGCCAAGGGTTGCGGGTTCGAGTCCCAGTGATGGCACTATCTTTATCACTATTCCTCGTCCTATTACAAATGTCTCTCACTAGTTTGCATGACAAAACACAAAAACTGCGCATTCAGGCATACTTTCAATCCAAGGGTGTTTATCATGGAAGATTTTTGTGCCACCTGTGCCGTTTTTAACAAGATATGCAAAGATGGCCTTAGTCAAAACAGGTTACATTATAGTTAAAACACATACATATAAATTGTAAGACCCCTTAATAGACATTTGATTTTAAACTGACTAACAAATGTATAATATCTTACATTCATCCCTTTTGAACAATTTAAACATTAGTTTTTGATTAATACATAAACAATTATACAACAGATATCTGAAATTTTATAGAATTATAGATGCAGTTTGATTATATAAGTACATATAAAATATTTTTATACATTGAAAAATGATCCTATTCTAAATTAAATTAAACATGTAACATTCCTAAGGCAAACAAAGTGACTTGGAGCCAGTATCTTATTGTGTAGTGTTGTGTTTGTGGGGGGCATTCGATGACATATTGAACAAGAGAGAAAATTTGGTATAAACATAATATTCCTCTACACCATACCATACAACCTGTATGTGTTTTTTAAGTATTGATCCATCAGTTTCATAGGAAATTAATTGTTTACAACAACTTCTAAAAATTCCATGCCTTTCAATTTTGCTCTAATAAAATTAAGCCAAAGTACAATGATTTACTTCAGGACAAAATAAATTCTTTTAATGATTTTCAAAAGAATCTTTGTGACAATATGTATGTCTTTCAATTGTTTCTGCATTTGTATGTTTATGTTAAAAGTAAAGTAATGATTCTAGACAAACTACAAAGAATCCTATACCAAGTCAACATCTACAACACGAAGGTCTGGTGGACATGATTATAAACAAAACACTGTATAATATATATACCAGGACTTGGTCACCTCAATGGTTGAACACCTTGGTAACTAAAACGTTTTTCCGATACTTCACTGGTGAGTTCCAGTTAAATACATAAACATTTCTAGTTTGTCTACATGTGTTAAAAATGTTATTGCAATCTTGTAGCAATTTGTTTTCCCCTCAGATTTATTTTAAATTTTTATACTGTTTTTCAGTGGCACATGTGTTTTATGAACATACTATATTTATGAAGTACCTGTAGGGTTTTAATGCTGAATTTGTGGCTACTTTAAACTATAAACATATCCATTTTACTCAATGGGGGTATCAGACATATACCTATCAGTCACTTATTTTTACTGGTGAAACTTGATTCACTTAGAAGAAACATCAGAAATAAGCTCTCCTGTAGCTGAACTAGAAATAAGCACATTCTGTAAGGCATCACGTCCAGAAATAAGCTCTCCTGTAGCTAAACTAGAAATAAGCACATTCTGTAAGGCATCATGCCCAGAAATAAGCTCTCCTGTAGTTAAACTATCAAAAAACACATTCTGTAAGACGTCATGTCCAGAAATAAGCCTTCCTGTAGTTTAACTAGAAATAAGCACATAAGCCCAGGGTTAATTTACTGCTCTCGAAGGACTCTGCTGCCTCATTTTATCACAGGTAATATAGATCATAAAAAATGTCACCTGAACTTCTACCAACTTGATAGCTGTGTGATAAACACTTGGACATGACATTAACTTTGTGTAGGTTTACACGTGTAGTATAAACAGTCTCAACCTACAGCGAAGTCTTACACTTTGCCCAGGGAATGGTTTGGCAACATTTCATGTCTGTTTACCAACCTGGACAGAGTTTGAAACGTATCATCATCATCATCATCATCATCATCATCATCATCATCATCATCATCATCATCATCATCATCATCAATTCTACCCAATTTAAAACACAATAAAATTATAAAACTTAAATATAACATATATTTTATAACTCTATTTTACAATGTAGCACGTCAGGACCGGAACTATAGGTATAAGGCACAACATATATTGTATATATATTTAGTACATTGTGTGTAGTGACAATCATTTAGCGTATAAACTGTGTAGGTATATATTTCAAAAATATTGCTTTCATTTTTCAAATATAGCATTCTATATTCAACACAATACAATATGTTATGTATTCAATACAATGTGTAGTGAATGTCTGATAATGCCAATATATCAAGCACTCATTTATGAAATAAGAAGACTGTCTGTCCTTAATGATATGCAACAAATGTTTTGATTGGTCTACACCATCGATGACTGGTTTGAAGGAGTGATTTGATTGGCTATGTCTTGCTCTGTATCCTGATCTGAATCACATGAAGGAAGTCGACTAGTCCACTCTGAACAAAGGCTAGCCTCCTGTAGGAACTGCAATCAAAATATACAGGAAAGTATACTCACAGCTGGCACACCATATAACATGTTCAAGATGTGTTCACTGTTATAACATAATGTCATAACACATCATTTTTTATTATATGTAATGTCAGCTATTCTGTACATTGGGAAATTTTCACCGACGTTTAACTTAAGCCTTTAACGACCTCCACAATGAGGACATATTAATCATGACAGTAAGAATTTGTTCAGAGCATACCAAATACAGAAGTAACATGTGAAGGGTGACATTGACACTGGGTCAATAGGGATTTACTGGTAAATATTTGAGAAGGCGAAAGTTTCCTGATATATATAGTAACGTCACAGGAACGATGCAATAGTCATGAAACAGCATAAAAGAAAAACAAATAATTTTTCACACTTTTACTTTTTTTTTTAGATCAAAACAGGATTATATAAAACAAGACAAAGCAATATTCATATCATGTTTTCCTTTGATAAATGAGAAGTGATATCAAGTGCAATGTCATATACCAACTAGAAATCATATACCAGTTTCCATGAATGTGTGAAAAGACTTAAATATCTATGATAATGCAGAGGAATGGTCTGCTACAATGTACCAACCCTCAAGTGTTCGTCTATATTGGCTAAGGACTGGTCAGTCCACCCTACAATGTACCTACCCTGAAGTGTTCATCTACATTAGCTAAGGACTGGTCAGTCCACCCCTACAATGTACCTACCCTCAAGTGTTCGTCTATATAGGCTAAGGACTGGTCAGTCCACCCTACAATGTACCTTCCCTGAAGTGTTCATCTACATTAGCTAAGGACTGGTCAGTCCACACCTACAATGTACCTACCCTCAAGTGTTCGTCTAAATTGGCTAAGGACTGGTCAGTCCACCCCTACAACGTACCTACCCTCAAGAGTTCATCTACATTTGCTAAGGACCAGTCAGTCCACCCCTACAATGTACTAACCGCTACATTGGCTAAGGACTGGTCAATCCAGTTCCCCCTACAATGTACCTACCCTCAAGTGCTCGTCTATATTGGCTAAGGACTGGGCAGTCCACCCCTACAATGTACCTACCCTCAAGTCTTCATCTATATTAGCTAAGGACTGGTCAGTCCACCCCTACAATGAACCTACCCTCAAGTGCTCGTCTATATTGGCTAAGGACTGGGCAGTCCACCCCTACAATGTACATACCCTCAAGTGTTCATCTATATTGGCTAATGACTGGTCAGTCCACCCCTACAATGTACCTACCCTCAAGTCTTCATCTATATTAGCTAAGGACTGGTCAGTCCACCCCTACAATGTACCACCCCTCAAGTGTTCATCTACATTAGCTAAGGACTGGTCAGTCCACACCTACAATGTACCTACCCTCAAGTGTTCGTCTATATTGGCTAATGACTGGTCAGTCCACCCCTACAATGTACCTACCCGCAAGTGTTCGTCTATATTGGCTAAGGACTGGTCAGTCCACCCTACAATGTACCTTCCCTGAAGTGTTCATCTACATTAGCTAAGGACTGGTCAGGCCACCCCTACAATGAACCTACCCTCAAGTGTTCGTCTATATTGGCTAATGACTGGTCAGTCCACCCCTACAATGTACCTACCCGCAAGTGTTCGTCTATATTGGCTAAGGACTGGTCAGTCCCCCCCTACAATGTACCTACCCTCAAGTGTTCGTCTATATAGGCTAAGGACTGGTCAGTCCACCCTACAATGTACCTTCCCTGAAGTGTTCATCTACATTAGCTAAGGACTGGTCAGTCCACACCTACAATGTACCTACCCTCAAGTGTTCGTCTAAATTGGCTAAGGACTGGTCAGTCCACCCCTACAATGTACCTACCCTCAAGTGTTCATTTACATTGGCTAAGGACTGGTCAGTCCACCCCTACAACGTACCTACCCTCAAGTGTTCATCTACATTTGCTAAGGACCAGTCAGTCCACCCCTACAATGTACTAACCGCTACATTGGCTAAGGACTGGTCAATCCAGTTCCCCCTACAATGTACCTACCCTCAAGTGCTCGTCTATATTGGCTAAGGACTGGTCAGTCCACCCCTACAATGTACATACCCTCAAGTGTTCGTCTACATTGGCTAAGGACTGGTCAATCCAGTTCCCCCTACAATGTACCTACCCTCAAGTGCTCGTCTATATTGGCTAAGGACTGGTCAGTCCACCCCTACAATGTACATACCCTCAAGTGTTCATCTATATTGGCTAATGACTGGTCAGTCCACCCCTACAATGTACATACCCTCAAGTGTTCGTCTACATTGGCTAAGGACTGGTCAATCCAGTCCATTCCTCCATTCATACGGCAAGCATGCTTGGTGACTAGGACAAGATGGCTGACTGATAGCACAAGGGCTGTACATCTGAAACAGGGGAGGTAAGTTCAAATCTATTTGAATAAACACATATGTAACAGCAAAGTATTCTTTGTGAACTGTGATACCATCACCTTTCTGCAACACAGAATTCTAAAGGTTAAAATGACACACCTATGTATATACACAAAACTCTCCGATTTTCAGGTCAAAGGTCAAATTGACAGGTTTTGCAATAAGCAGGGGTCCAAACAGAAAATAGTGACCTAGTGTGTTAGATTGATATGGATTGATAATGACCTTGTTTCTGGAAAACAATACTAGTGCTCTAGAGCTNGGGGGGGGGGGGGGGGGGGGGGGGGGGGGGCAATTAAGAGAGGACTGCATCTACCGCCCTTGTTTCATGAATACTGGCCCCATGAGGTCCAGAGGGAATACTGACCTTGCCTCAAGTAGGCGGGGGTCCAGAGGAGGATACATGGAACTGACCACCTCGTCCACCCTTGGACTGATTCTTTTGGCAACAGCGATGATGTCAGTCAGCAGTTCCTGTGTCTGAATCATCTGGGAGTTTCCCATCGTCATGGCCACCAGCCTCTCTGTGAGATGATGGCAGGTCTTCAGTATGGAGATGCAGTGCGGCATCAGGCCCCTGAAAAATTAGTTTTGTAAACAGTCGTTTAAATAAATACAGCTCTTGTTTTTGTTTGATAAGAGTTTCAAAAGTTAGTTTTTGGTAATTTTAGTCTTCATCTCAACAAAAACAAAACTTGAAACCGAGTTTGATTTAGGTATCAGTCACTGAGAGGAGTATACTCCAGTTTGAATCTCTTGAGAAGCCACAGAAATAACCTGTATTAAGGCTTTCTAAAGTCCAGCAGTCCAATTACTGTCATATAACATATGTAAAATTGAGTGTCATCCCACTCTGACAAAAGTGATATATCACGAGAAGAGGTCTTTTGTGTCAAATCTGATGAAGAAAATCTGATTATTAATTCTTGACATGAGCTTGGAAATATCTTTGTGAATTAAAGGCCATAAGATGGCAATTTTAGAGGTCAAATGAACAAAAAAAGCTAACAGCAGAAATTACACACTTTGAATAGACTTTTTAACAAAAATGTATTAATTCAAGTCTATTCTATTGCTTAAAGAAAATACAGGGGCAACATACCACTTGGTCTTGGATTTTATTAGTTTTTGTTATTTACTACTAGATAAGAAAAACAGTAAAAGCAAAGGTCTAAATAACAAACATAATTATAATGATCCACTTACGTCGCATCGTCTACCCAGTTCTCATCCTGAAGGATGGCTTCCAGCCGCGGATTGTTAATCCGAACATCATCCAGTTCTACATCAGTTATCTGCCCCTGAGGACTATCCTGAATCAGCTGGATATCGGGTCTGCAAAATACAAATTGTAAGGTAAAGGTACGATTTAACTGCTAAGGAACTAATATTGATAACAGTTAATCATACGAGGCAAGGTAAAGGACAGATTCTGGAGCAAATCGCCTTTGACCTGTAGATGCTGTAACTATAAATAGGGGAGGCGATAGTATATTATTACGCAAGACGGGAATGTTAAAAGATACTCAGCGATACACACGATACAGTACGACCATCCACAATCTCTATTTCCATTAATTAGTTGTTGAGTAAATTCTGAAACTATGTAACTGCATCAGGCAATTGATGAATGCATGGCTAATTGAGTAGACATAAACATGATTTTCAAATGTAAAAAAACGTGTATTAGAAATGCATTTGACCAAAAGTAAATTCTTCAGGTAGTAGGCCTTTATATTGATTTAATTTACATATTCCTCAATATTCATCAAATTGGTCATAACACTGTGTAAGTGTTTAAAAGTCTCTTTACTTTGTAAAATCCTATATCTGTACTGCGTGTACTTTGAATGTGTAACTGTCTAGTTACGCAGTTGTTAAAAGAAAATCTGCCAGTTATCTGTTGGAAGGCTAAAAGTCCTATATAAACTTTCCTATAATTTTTTTTTATTATAGCATTCAGTGTTTCTCCTGAAAAATTCAGTTAGTACCGTTCACACGTTTGACTGAAATAACTGCCTCTTTTATATAAAAAACATCTTTTATATTGTGCACAACTGAGACCAAATAAACCACTCGACTGCTCATAATTATAATAAATCAAAACAACTTCTTATGAAGTCTTAATGGGTAATAAATAAAACACGCTCTTTCTGACACTACAACTGTATCTGTCTGGTCTACTACAGAATCTGTTAATAATTTCTTGCTACCAAATCAAAAACTGATACAAATCATGTACACAAGAAACACCTTTATGTATTTTTATTGTGGTCGTTTACTTCACCTGAACAGTCAAGTACTAAATGGTACATCTAACGCTATACCTGTAAAATACATTAGTGGTTGATGTTATCTTCACCTGTATATCAATATAAACCAACAATATTACAAATTGAACATGTTTGCTGCTTTTATTATGACAGGGCATTATCAATAAAAAAAAATCAATTACAAATAAACTACTTAAAAAAGTAGAAAGAACAGGAAGTACTCCATTTACATCAAACTACACTTCAACTATTCGTGCTGAAATTGATAAACTGATGAAAAACATTGCCAAGGCAACTTTTTTAGAGTCCCAACGAAGGCATTCCTTACTGAGCTATACTGTACATCTTGTTAAATTTAAATCACTCTAATTGGTTGAACTTTCAAAAGTTACAAAAGACTGAACGTTGAACAAATGTTTTTTGTAATTTTTCAATCTAATGGCATTTCTAGGCAATAGGCATTAAATTGTTAAAATTGTATCACCCTGTGTTAATAATGTAACTTTCTATTTCAACATAAATGCCATGCTAAATCTGCTTTCCTGTCAACACAGACTAATGCTATCACAATAATTCAACCTGCCATGCCAGTAATTATAATTGGACAGAATTGCCATGCCAGTAATTTTCATTGGACAGAATTGCTATGCTAGTAATTCTAATTGGACAGAATTGCCATACTAGTAATTCTAATTGGATAGAATTGCCATGCTAGTAATTCTAATTGGACAGAATTGCCATGCTAGTAATTCTGATTGGATACAATTGCCATGCTAGTTATTCTAATTGGACAGAATTGCCATACTAGTAATTCTATAGGACAGAATTGCCATGCAAGTAATTCTAATTTGATAGAATTGCCATGCTAGTAATTCTAATTGGATAAAATTGACATGCTAGTAATTCTATTGGACAGAATTGCCATACTAGTAATTCTAATTGGACAGAATATCCATGCTAATATTTCTAATTGGATACAATTGCCATGCTAGTAATTCTAATTGGATACAATTGCCATACTAGTAATTATAATTGGATAGAATTACCCTGCTAGTAATTATAATTGGACAGCCTTGCCATGCTAGTAATTCGAATTGGATACAATTGCTATACTAGTAATTCTAATTGGACAGAATTGCCATACTAGTAATTATAATTGGATACAATTGCCATGCTAGTAATTCTAATTGGACAGAATCGCCATGCTAGTAATTGAAATTGGATAGAATTGCCATGCTAGTAATTCTAATTGGACACAATTGCCATGCTAGTAATTCTAATTGGATACAATTGCCATGCTAGTAATTCTAATTGGATACAATTGCCATACTAGTAATTATAATTGGATAGAATTACCATGCTAGTAATTCTAATTGGACAGACTTGCCATGCCAGTAATTCTAATTGGACAGAATTGCCATGCTAGTAATTCTAATTGGATACAATTGCTATGCTAGTAATTCTAATTGGATAGAATTGCCATGCTAGTAATTCTAATTGGATAGAATTGCCATGCTTGTCATTCTAATTGGACAGACTTGCCATGCTAGTAATTCTAATTGGATACAATTGCTATGCTAGTATTCTAATTGGATACAATTGCCATGCTAGTAATTCTAATTGGATACAATTGCTATGCTAGTAATTCTAATTGGATACAATTGCCATGCTAGTAATTCTAATTGGATACAATTGCCATACTAGTAATTATAATTGGATAGAATTACCATGCTAGTAATTCTAATAGGACAGACTTGCCATGCTAGTAATTCTAATTGGACAGAATTGCCATGCTAGTAATTCTAATTGGATAGAATTGCCATGCTAGTAATTCTGATTGGACAGAATTGCACCATAGAGTAATATTATTTTAACAGCAAATCTTCCGAAGTAATTCATATAATGGAATCATTAAACACATTATACATGTATACATTCAATTTACAAAGCAATTATCACTGGACTAAATCATACAAGGTACTCAGTGGTATATATATGTTAGTCCAGGTTGATTGGGGATGAAGTAACTCGATGTACCAACATAATGATACACACAGAACATAATCAGATGAAAATGTCACCATGCCAAATTCACAAACACTGAATTAATTCATGGCTCTAGTGTTTAATGCATACTAAATCAGTGTGTTGACATTTGATTTGGAACTGTATCCTGTATCACCTGTGTAATTGAGTAGCTGTATGTTTGTGTACCTGTACATGTGACCTTGTAAAAATAACATCACATGCATGTACACAATAACATCTACATAAATTGAACGATCACATGATACTGTTTAAATTCAACGCATAAATCAGTGTAAAGCCATAACCTTAGCAAAGATTATGTCAGTACAACTACAAATACATCCTGTTTTACCGTAAATGTTAAGGAGCAAACACCTTGATTTTCCCTGCAAAATTAATTTAAATTTTAAAACTTAAAGAGGACTTGTTAAAGAGAATATTTATAGTGGCATGTTTTAATGTCCTTATCAAGCATAAACCTAGTGATCACCGACCTTCATTTTAAAATAAAAATTCATAAACAAATTTACAACATCTTCCGACCAATAAAACGCTAAAACGTGAGTCTTTTATGTTAACCTGTCAAATTTGAAATCCCATTACTGTTCAAACATTTCAACTAAACATTAAACAATTTTGTTTTCAGTTCACTTATAATTTATCAGCTGTACATGTACAGATTCTAAAAAAATCCTTCATACACTTTTATGTATCTATGCTCGAGACTTGCAATAATCCACTCACAGCCCCTGAACCTCAAAGCCCATGAACCCATCACAGCCCGTGAACCTCTCACAGCATGTGAATCTCTCACAGCCCAAGAACCACTCACAGCCCATGGCCCTCTCAAAGCCCATGAACCCATCACAGCCCAAGAACCACTCACAGCCCATGGCCCTCTCAAAGCCCATGAACCACTCACAGCATGTGAACCTCTCACAGCCCAAGAACCCCAGCTCACAGCCCATGATCCACTCACAGCCCATGAACCACTCAAAACCCATGAACCCCTCACAGCATGTGAACCTCTCAAAGCCCACGATCAAAGATAACCACTTCATTACCCTCTTGATCAGAAATAAGATTCGAGTGTTCTGACCAGTTTTACATATCCAGAAAATAATGGGGATAAAATATCAATGCTAACAATTACAGGCCTAGGTTTCTCAGACAAAACAGGATAGAAAATCAATGCTTACAATTATCTCAGACAAATCGGGTTTATGATTACTAAGGAACATCTGAAGTAATTGTTGGTCTTTGAGAGAACTATCAATTGCTGATTGCATTGCCTGACTTACAGACAATTTCATATTGTTTAGGGAAGATTTAAGAGGTAAAAGCACTTAGCTACTCCTGAAGTCTGTGTGGCTATCTGCCAGTGAAGTAATTTGACCTTCATTACTAGATGTTAACCTTGATAGAAAAAACCAGACATCACCTGATATTTACAGTAACGCCGATCATGCAAGAGCAATTGTACGCTAACAAAAGCGAAATGACTGACATTTTGATATTTTGAATTAAAATTAACGTGATTAAATTTGTATTCTAAACAACATATCTCGGTTAAAGGAAATATATTCAGATCGTTTTGTTGAAAGTCTAGGACAAAATCACTGATTTCGAAATGAGGCTGTGCAGGTGGTTTAAACATCGTAAAATCATCAAGGTTCTATTTTTGAGCGATATTATGTCATTGGTGACAATCGGTCTGGAATTCCTTTATAGATTACAGACAACGTTCTGTGTCAACCATAAGTTCAACCTGTCTGGTGATTCTTCTGATATTATAAACAGCTGATGTGTCAACTGTCAACGTTGCCCAAAATTTAATAAAAAGTTGTTTTACCCCTGAAACAGTTGGCTTTACCCTGAACGTTCAAGGACCCAATTATTACCAAGTATCTAACTTGGGGATACAGAATCTTGAAAATCTATCAAGTATTTCCCAAAATCCGAAATTCATAGGGAATGTTGACTGTAGTAATAACAGCCTGCATGGTGTTCCCTGTATTACAAACTTTTGATGTGGTAAATTCGGTAAAGGGCAGACGTGTTTCTTTATTATTTAGGCAGATACTGTATGCCTGCGTTCAGAATAAACTAAGTTAAAAACAAACAGAAAATGTTCTATCTATCCACGAGTAGTCAGCAATGGAAACCTGTATTATGCTACATACCTTATGTGTTAGTGTATTCATTTATCTGACCTTATGAACTTGAGTGACCTACCTGGCATCTTTTTGCTGTGATGAGATCTGTGAACTTGAGGTTATTTGTCTGACCTTGTAACCTTGAGTGACCTATCTGGCATCTTTGTGCTGTGATGAGATCTGTGGCTTGAGAACATTTGTACTGACCTTATGAACCTTAGCGACCTATCTGGAGTCTTTATTCTGTGTTAAGATATATGACCTTGAGGTTATTTATCTGACCTTGTGACCTTGAGTGACCTACCTGGTGTCTTTGTGCAGGGATGAAATGAGATCTGTGCCTTTTTTACACCTGTATTTACACACAACAAATAGTCCCACCAGTGATGCCAGGAAAATGGTTGCTAAAACACCAATCGCTACGGCAACCACCGTATCCATGGTTTCCATCAGGATAACCGTCCTGGTGAAAGCGTCACCGGGTCACAAGCGTACATCGTTCTACATCCCGATCCTGCTGAAAAGCAAAACACTGACATTTAATATCATGTCACAAATGATATATTAAATCATTAAAAATCTGAATTCCTCCTGTTATGACAAGGATATATAAGTATACACATGCTTGCCTATTATCTTATATACATATATCATGATACTAAAACATATACAAATCATTGATAATTGTGCACATGACAGCAAGTGTATGCAGAGATACGTGATAAGCCAAGTATACGTAGCAGTCTATATATCAACACCTGGCTGGAAAAGTGATGGGGTCTAAAATCTAGTGATTTTTGGTAATTAGGACCCTGACTTAAAATTTGGACAAATTATTAACAATAAATTGCAAAACTGGAAAATCAAATTTCAGATCCAGTATTTGAAATACAATTCAGTGCATTTTTATTTGTTCAGAAGGTAAACAAGAGGCCCATGGGCCTTAACGGTCACCTGAGTCCTACAGTATTTATTTTTGTTGTTGAAATATGTACCAATTTAAGTAAAAAATAGTTAAGTATAATGTTAACTTAACTTTGTCAGGACCATGAGCTGATCATTCCTAGACCGATTTTAAATAAGATCGGCCTATTATTAATTGTTTTTAAGTTTAGAATAGGTATTTACAAAATTTTCAGTTCAATCGGCCTAGCAGAACTTGACTTTAAGTTTGAAATAGTTTTTCAAAATGGCGGCCATGGCGGCCATATTGGATTTCTGATTGACCTGAAAAATAACAACACTTTGTCAGGACCATGAGTCGATCATTCCTACAAACTTTCAGTTCAATCGGCCCAGCAGAACTTGACTTTAAGTTTGAAATAGTTTTTCAAAATGGCGGCCGTGGCGGCCATATTGGATTTCTGATCGACCCGAAAAATAACAACACTTTGTCAGGACCATGAGTCGATCATTCCTACAAACTTTCAGTTCAATCGGCCCAGCAGAACTTGACTTTAAGTTTGAAATAGGTTTTCAAAATGGCGGCCGTGGCGGCCATATTGGATTTCTGATCGACCCGAAAAATAACAACACTTTGTCAGGACCATGAGGCGATCATTCCTACCAACTTTCAGTTCAATCGGCCCAGCAGAACTTGACTTTAAGTTTGAAATAGGTTTTCAAAATGGCGGCCGTGGCGGCCATATTGGATTTCTGATCGACCCGAAAAATAACAACACTTTGTCAGGACCATGAGGCGATCATTCCTACCAACTTTCAGTTCAATCGGTCCAGCAGAACTTGACTTTAAGTTTGAAATAGGTTTTCAAAATGGCGGCCGTGGCGGCCATATTGGATTTCTGATCGACCCGAAAAATAACAACACTTTGTCAGGACCATGAGGCGATCATTCCTACCAACTTTCAGTTCAATCGGCCCAGCAGAACTTGACTTTAAGTTTGAAATGTAAAATGTTAACGGACGACGGACGACGGATGACGACGGACGAAAACGGATAGCAATAGGTCACTTGAGCTAAAGCTCAGGTGACCTAAAAAGGTGTAGTTACTCCAATCTACAGTGATGTATAAATGTGTAGCGGCATCCTATGTACATAACTCTGTACTCCGGTGGATGAAGCTGTATATGTAACAGCATGAACCATAAATGTATAAGTATACATGTACCCAGCAAAATTATTGTTTACAAATCAAATACCAAATCTTACAGATTGAAACCTTCATTTGCAGCAATTGTGAAAGAAAAAGACAATATTAATGTCGTAATTATAACATCCTGATGTTACATCATATGTAAGGATATTAATGATAAGCGATACACAGTAACCCACTGTCATTGCTACGATTACATCATGCTAGTACTTTTGCCCATTTTGAAGATGGTCAAAAGTATTAGCGGAAAATAGTTTTCAAGCTTTTTAATTCTATTTGTATGGTCACATCGATGAGCAAAATTTGTATGAAGCCATAAATATATAGTATACAATGGTACTAAATAATAACAAAATCAATATACAGATTAAGGTCATAACATACTAGTCACTGACATCCGTCCTAACTTGCCCCACTTACCTGTGGGATGTAATAAGCCTATATCTAGTTCACGTTAATTAGCTCACCTGAGGGGAGTCTATAATGCTCGGTATAAACAAAGACATACCAAAGCTGTGTCCTGAATGTCTAGTGTCCGCCCTCCATACATCTACTGCTCTATTGAGTGGGGAACCGTAACGTTATAGCAGACTTTAGGTATAATGAAAATCAATCAATATATGAAAACATGACATCATTATGTTGTCCATTCGATATTTGACAGAGAAGTTTCAGTGAACTGTACCTATACACTAGAGGACCAACTCTACAAAAACCAATTTATCAAAGTATTGAGATCATAATCGACAGGAAATGTTTTTCCAATGATATTTAAGAAAACTTAATGTAGAATTTGATTACATCCATTCCAATTATAAATTGCACCTTAAATTGGAATAAATTTCCCACTTTTTTCTCAATTTTGAATTAACAATACCAACAATATGCTAGCCAGTGGCCAACCTCCTTTATAGCTATTAAATTGTATAATCGCTGTTAATGCATGCAGTCAATGTCAAGGTCAAAATCTGTATTACTATAGTGATACAAGACAACTAGATTGATACATGCTTTTAAAGCGGAGTCCAGTCACCCTTAGTTATACCTCCGACAAAAAAGAGTTCCCACTTTTCAGACTTGGGAGTTGCGCATTCTTGTCCATTTACAAACGTTTTCAGTATGATTTTCTTTTTACAAAACTCCTCCGCTACGTGGATTTAAGACTTTTTTATTTAGAATGTATAAAGCATGCAGTTTATCATCTGTGCTGCTCCCATTATGATATTTGAAATAATAAAACTTTTGGCAAAATTTCGGGGAAAGATTTCACAATCTTTTGAAATTATTAAAAGAAAGAAAATAGTATTAAGAACGTATTATTGTGACCTATTGGTTAAATCCAAGAATTAAACTTAAATATATTGGGGATATACATGTATTGTCAACGTCTGAGGCATTTAGTAACTAGATGACATTATTCCATACACAAAATTGTTTTGTTTGTCATAGTTGTTCATTGCGCTTACCGTTTTTTACACAGCTGTATATAGGCATGTATTAAACAACACCACACATGTGTTTCCCTGATTGTAATATTTATCATGTCACATGCAGCATTCATTTACCATAACGTACATGTGATAACGATGACATTACAGACAGCAATGACCTATTGTATGAATGTTTATGTATGCATGGTAATACATGAGGTTTTGCAGACAGCACTAGTTCTTATTACCGTGTGGATGTTTTTGTAGGTTGCATACTTGTGTCGTAATAAGAATACTTTAATTTGCCTAAACAAGATTATTGATACAATACTTATCAGTCATCACCACATTAAGTCAATATTCTTGGTCAGACTTGGATTTTCACTGTCAATCATAGATCAACTGATAATCTTATCCAGACATCCTATCAACTAGTAATCTTATCCAAGCATCGCATCAACTCTAGTACTGGACTGTTAATGATAATAATAATTCAAGGTTCTTATATATACTGCTTTATCACAACCTTCTGAGTTCGTAGGTTGTCTCAAAGCGGTGCACAAATTATTATCCATGGTTATAATATATAGGACCTTTGCAACCAGCCAACATCTTTCTCGACTCCCTGGGATGCATACAGCCAATTCTGCCATTACGGTGCTCACAGCTAGCATTCAACAATTCTAGCACTGCCCAACCACATACTCGTTTACAGCTGAGTAGACTGGAACAAGCGGAGTAAAGTATCTTGCTCAAAGATACAACATAGTGCCGCGCCATTACTTGAACCCGCAACCCTTCGATCACGAGCCCGGCATCCTACCACTAGACTACCGTGCCTCCAGTTACATACAGTAGGTATATATATATAGATAGTGTAACAACACTGACCTAAAGTGCCAAACAGACTTTGCATGCTCAACTGCTGTACCATTAGACTGATAGTTTTTATAAAGCAGTGAAAACTGTAGTAGTGTGCATCTACTAGTATACTGGGGATCAAAACACAAACTTAGCATCCCAGTCCACCACTCTACTACCGGTAATTTGATTTAGCATCGATATCCCAGTCCACCACTCTAGATCTACTACCGGTAATTTGACTTAGCATCCCAGTCCACCACTCTACTACCGGTAATTTGACTTAGCATCGATATCCCAGTCCATCATTCTACTACCGGTAATTTGACTTAGCATCGATATCCCAGTCCACCACTCTACTACCGGTAATTTGACTTAGCATCAATATCCCAGTCCACCACTCTACTACTGGTAATTTGACTTAGCATCGATATCCCAGTCCACCACTCTACTACCGGTAATTTGACTTAACATCCCAGTCCAACACTCTACTACCGGTAATTTGAGCTAAAGGGAAATCCATCCTAGCATGAAGCTGCAGGAGGGCATCTGTACCTGTTATACTTATTTTAGTACAATTAGATTCTGCTACACTACATACTCCCCCCTTTTTGAATGTGATCACGCTTCAAACACCACAACAACCCAGGCTCTTAAACTCCCTGTCACCACAGGAAGGGCCACGGACACCAATTGTGACAGCTTGGATAGAGAATAGTGCATTTCCAACTTCCAAAGAGATAGAACCAGCGACCCCAGCTTCCCAGTCCTCAATGCACTCAGCTGATTAAACTAAACGGAAAATCACTCTAGCATGAACCTAGAAGGTGAATGTGTACTATTAAAACCTGCCACACAAGTACCAGCTGGTTATAAAGATACATTAGTATACCTTTACACCTATATATACAGTGCATATATGTATCAGAGCAGCATATATATCTTAATTACATAAAACGTGTGTTAGAAAACAGGTTTACAAACTTTCTTCTGAACTGCATGTATATAGCTAAGGTAGAACAATCAAGTTTACCACACAAGCATGGTGTTAAGTAATTTACAACATGGATTTTCTAAACACATCAATCACCTGTTTCATAATATAACTGCAC